AAAAAATCCCAAAAAATCCTCGAAAAATCAGAATAAAACCTCAAAAAAATCAGGAAAAAATCCCGAAAAATCCTCAAAAATCAGAATAAAAATGCTAAAAAATCAGGAAAAAATCAGAAAAAATCAGAAAAAAAATCAGAAAAAATCAGGGAAAAAAACCTGAATTTTTTTTCTCTCCACCAGAAACCCCAAAAAATCCTCCAAACCCCCTTTGGCCGCCCCGTCCGCCTCGGCCGCCTCCCTGCTCGACTCGGAGGAGGAGGACGAATCGAAACCCATGAGCTACGACGAGAAAAGACAACTGAGCCTCGACATCAACAAACTGCCCGGGGAGAAACTGGGCAGGGTCGTTCACATCATCCAGAGCCGCGAGCCCTCGCTCAGAGACTCCAACCCCGAGGAGATCGAGATCGACTTCGAGACGCTCAAGGCGTCCACGCTGCGCGAGCTCGAGCGCTACGTGCTCTCGTGTCTCAGGAAGAAGCCGAGGAAACCCTACAGTGAAAGTGAGTGGGAGTTTAGATTTTAGTTTTGGGGTGGTACGGGGATTTTTGGGGATTTTTCGGGATTTTTTTGTGATTTTTTTCGGATTTTTGGGGATTTTTTGGGATTTTTTGGGGATTTTTTGGGATTTTTCGGTGATTTTTTGAGGATTTTTTGGTGGATTTTTGGGGATTTTTGGTGATTTTTTGAGGATTTTTTGAGATTTTTTGCGGATTTTTCTGTGATTTTTTTCGAGATTTTTTGGGGATTTTTTGGGGGATTTTTGGGGATTTTCTGGGATTTTTTGTGATTTTTTCGTGATTTTTTAGAGATTTTTTGGTGGATTTTCAGGGATTTTTTGAGGATTTTTTGTGATTTTTCAGTGATTTTTTTGGGATTTTTCGATGATTTTTTGAGGATTTTTCGGTGATTTTTTAGGGATTTTTTGTGATTTTTCGGTGATTTTTTAGGGATTTTTGATGGATTTTCAGGGATTTTTGGGAGGGTTTTTTGTGATTTTTTCGGTGATTTTTTCGGGATTTTTTGGGGATTTTTCGGTGATTTTTTAGGGATTTTTTGTGATTTTTCGGTGATTTTTTGAGGATTTTTTGGGGGATTTTCGGAGATTTTTTGAACATTTTTTTGTGATTTTTCAGTGATTTTTTAGGGATTTTTCGGTGATTTTTTAGGGATTTTTTGTGATTTTTCAGTGATTTTTTAGGGATTTTTTTGGGATTTTTCGGTGATTTTTTAGGGATTTTTCGGTGATTTTTTAAGGATTTTTTGTGATTTTTCGGTGATTTTTTTAGAGATTTTTTGGTGGATTTTCTGTGATTTTTTTTTGAAGATTTTTTGTGATTTTTTGGGGATTTTTCGATGATTTTTTAGGGATTTTTGGGGGATTTTTCGGTGATTTTTTAGGGATTTTTTGTGATTTTTCAGTGATTTTTTTGGGGAATTTTTTTGTGATTTTTCAGTGATTTTTTAGAGATTTTTTGGTGGATTTTCAGGGATTTTTTGTGAATTTTTAGGGATTTTTTTGGTGGATTTTCGGGGATTTTTTTGGATTTTTCTGCGATTTTTGGGGGATTTTTTGTAGATTTTTTGGGATTTTTCGCTGATTTTTTAGACATTTTATTCTGGATTTTCGGGGATTTTTTGAGATTTTTTTGTGGATTTTTTTTTGTGATTTTTTTTTTCTGGGGGTTTCTTTAGAGATCTTTTTAAAGATATTCAAAGATTTTTTTGAAGATTTTTTGGGATTTTTGGGGGATTTTTCTGTGATTTTTTTAGGGATNGCCGCCCCGTCCGCCTCGGCCGCCTCCCTGCTCGACTCGGAGGAGGAGGACGAATCGAAACCCATGAGCTACGACGAGAAAAGACAACTGAGCCTCGACATCAACAAACTGCCCGGGGAGAAACTGGGCAGGGTCGTTCACATCATCCAGAGCCGCGAGCCCTCGCTCAGAGACTCCAACCCCGAGGAGATCGAGATCGACTTCGAGACGCTCAAGGCGTCCACGCTGCGCGAGCTCGAGCGCTACGTGCTCTCGTGTCTCAGGAAGAAGCCGAGGAAACCCTACAGTGAAAGTGAGTGGGAGTTTAATTGGAGGTTTTGGGGGGGTTGGGGGGATTTTTGGGGATTTTTTTGTGATTTTTTTCGGATTTTTGGGGGATTTTTTGGGATTTTTTGAGGATTTTTTGGTGGATTTTTGGGGATTTTTGGTGATTTTTTGAGATTTTTTGCGGATTTTTCTGTGATTTTTTTATTGATTTTTTGGTGACTTTTTGGGGATTTTTTGGTGGATTTTTGGGGATTTTTTGGTGGATTTTTGGGGATTTTTTGTGGATTTTTTGTGATTTTTCTGTGATTTTTTCGAGATTTTTTGGTGGATTTTCGGGGATTTTTTTATGATTTTTTCGTGATTTTTTAGGGTTTTTTTGGTGGATTTTCAGGGATTTTTTGAGGATTTTTTTGTGATTTTTCAGTGATTTTTTTGGGATTTTTCGATGATTTTTTAGGGATTTTTCGGGGATTTTTTAGGGATTTTTTGTGATTTTTCGGTGATTTTTTAGGGATTTTTGGTGGATTTTTCGGATTTTTTGGGGGTTTTTTTGTGATTTTTCGGTGATTTTTTTGGGGATTTTTCGATGATTTTTTAGGGATTTTTGGTGATTTTTCAGTGATTTTTTAGGGATTTGTGGTGGATTTTCGGGGATTTTTTAGGGATTTTTTGTGATTTTTCAGTGATTTTTTTGGGGATTTTTTGTGATTTTTTAGGGATTTTTTGGTGGATTTTCAGGGATTTTTTGAGGATTTTTTGTGATTTTTCTGCGATTTTTTGGAGATTTTTCGCTGATTTTTTAGGGATTTTTTGTGATTCTTCAGTGATTTTTTAGGGATTTTTTGGTGGATTTTTAGGGATTTTTTTGAGGATTTTTTTGTGATTTTTCTGCGATTTTTTGTGAATTTTTAGGGATTTTTTTGGTGGATTTTCGGGGATTTTTTGGGATTTTTCTGCGATTTTTGGGGGATTTTTTGGAGATTTTTTGGGATTTTTCGCTGATTTTTTAGACATTTTATTGTGGATTTTCGGGGATTTTTGGAGATTTTTTGTGGATTTTTTTTTGTGATTTTTTTTTTCTGGGGGTTTCTTTAGAGATCTTTTTAAAGATATTCAAAGATTTTTTTGAAGATTTTTTGGGATTTTTGGGGGATTTTTCTGTGATTTTTTTAGGGATTTTTCTTTGATTTTTAAGGGATTTTTTGGGTGGATTTTTGGG